GACTTTTGTCCCCCTGGGTATTAATATCAGATATTGAGACTGATTTTTCTAGAGCTGAAACTCAGAACGGATGCTCAAGATGGACTGCAGAGATATCCCCAGGAATCTGAATAGGAAAGGCACATCGTCAAATATGGCGCACTTGAAGAGAGGGAAGAATGGAGGCCAGTAGAGGCTGGGATGCCAGTCATCACTGGAGGCCAGCAGGGCATGGGGGTGGGAGAAGGACCAGAATGTGAAGAAAGTATGAATGTAGGGGTGGCGGGAAAATGTCACTGCATTTGCAATGAAGCAAGACCCCATTGGGGAGCGGGGGTTAATAGTCCAGGTTTACTGTAAAGTGGCTTTGAGAGAGGTCTGGAGTACATGGACCATAGTTTACCAGTGTGGGGACCTTAATCATGATCAAGTTAGCACCAAGCACCAAACATTGCCTCCTCATGCACCACCCAGCAAAGCTAACAAAGGACCATATCTTATCCTATCTGTTCCTTCAAATCTACCTAAAACATCATCCCCAGATATTTGGGGATAAAAAGAATTCACAATAGAACATATGCTCCCCATTTATCATCACATTTTTTTTTCCCCTTGACAGTAAGACTAGCGGAAAGTGAGTAGTTGAGCATATAGCTGTTAAAAGAACATCACGAACAGTTGGAAATTGAACTAAACAAATCCAGGTTATAGCCTGAAACATCCTAATGTTTCCTAATATCCCACAATAGATCCATATATAAGGAGCAATTTCTATTTACAGTTTTATTTCCTCCTGGCATAACTAAACTCCATCGTTTTATTACTTTGTGTATAACRTTGCACTGCTTCATAATTTCCCCAAATTCATCCTTTTTCAAGCCTTAAAGGGAGGACCTGCCATTTCCACGTTCCATTATGTAACAAACAGATTTATAATTTCCCTATTCGTGTTCTTCTCCCGTCTAATGGAGACGCTGAATGCAAATCTATTTTGCATGTTGCAGATATTTCAAGGGCCACAGATTCTACAATAACACCAAYGCTTTTCCAACAGAGCTTAAGGTCTGGGATTTTAAAGTCCCACTCTTCTTCAATGATTACAGGTTCCAATTTTATTTCTACATTGAGGTTTACATTGCACTGAATTTCAGAAACACTCTTCCTGTTTGGGAAGCATAACTTTCTTCTCTCCCCGATTCTATAGAAATTATGCACCGAGTTCCGMGTTTCTAGGATATGTGCACCAGGAATTTGCTTTCCTCTGTTATTACTTAGCAACCCGAGGATATCTGGAATCATAGCACACCCATCTGAATTTAGTTGTTTAACAAAAGTGGAGATATTTAATTCTCTCTCTCTCTCTCTTTGATTTTTTTTTTCAGGTGACAAGAAATATTGTCACCGCACTGTCATGGAAACAAATGGAAACTGCAAGACATGAACTTGAAGAGCCTTTAGAAATGCTTTGTTGGAGTGTTGTTGTTATTTTCTTTGTTTTGTTTTGTTTCACCTCAAGCTGACTGATTCCACTCCACAGAAAGGCAGTTATCCATTTTCTATGAGCTACTCCTATATATCCGATGTAAAAATCCATTTCAGTTTCCTTTAACACTCCTGAAGGCAAAGCACAACATTAAATGTTGTTCTTATTGTGACTTCTGAAAGAAACATTAAAATGGCAATTGCAAGAATCACCATTAATTAGAAAGTGGCTTTCAGATCTAGTTCGCACACACACTAGCTGTGTGACTTACCTTGTTTTAAACCAGGAAAACCTCAGCATGACTAGCATTTTGATTGAGATGATTCTTTGTCATGGGGCTTGGTGTGTGCATTAAAGCAGGTTTAGGAGCACTCCTGGCCTCTCTTCCCATGAGATGTCAGTAACATCCTACATCCCACTTTTGACACAACCAAAATGTCCCCAGACCTCGTCCTGGGATGSAAAGCTCCTTTTGTTAACCACAGTCTTCAGCCTGACTTTCCCCTCTTCTGTAAAGTGACCCTAATGAAAGTAGAGAGAGGCTGTTTTTTTTTTTTTTTTAAAGGTGAAATGATGCATCTGTTACATAAATATTAGGTGTTACTGTTTTAGAGTCACATTTGTTTATTCACATTGCCTTTAAGAAATCTCCACTGGTAACAGGTCTCAGGTGGCAGAACATGATGAGGGTGTTCAGGAGAAATGTATCCCCCCTTTTAACTGCAAAATCAATAGTTAAGAATTTACAGACACATCTATGATTTGAGTTTGAAATGGATATTTGATCCAAATTACCACTGAGGTTTATTCTAGCTTTGAAGATCCTGTGGGAGGGAAATAAAAATAGTGTGGGATTAATCTTTCCAGAATAGTAAATACCCATTCTCTAGAAGCTTATTGATACCCGGTTGTTAGAACAAAATTGACTTGCTTTAAAACTATGTGCTGTCCATGTCTCTATGTGGTCTCACAAGCAAACTGTTCAGCTTGAAGCTGTAGATCTTTTCTGGATATGCTCCTGCAAAGATATTCTACCTCTAARAAAACTGAAGGAAGTTGGTAGTCATGACTTTGGAGAAGATGACTTGGAGAAAGTATGGCTAAAATGGTCCATTCAAGATCAAACACTTTATTATTTGGTGCAGCTAAATAGACAAAATAAATGGGAGRCCGACTCCATGCACAGCTGGAGTAACAACTATATTGAAGGCAGAAAATGAAACAGTCCTATTGAGGGTGAATCTTAAAGGATAGTGAGTCTGGATCATTTTACATTTTTCTGAGACCTATAACTTCAAACACTCCTCCTGGAAATCTTAGAAGTTTGACAGTTTTCCTGCAGTGTTCTTTTTTAAAAATAAAAGGAACGAAAACATCTATGGGTAAGAAGAGATCTTCAGCACTCAATTTTTGTTCTTTTATTATTTCTTCCACACAAAAAGAGGAAGGTTACTGAACGCAATTGTTAGATGCAATTGTCTCTTTGTGCAAGTCATTTTTTTTGCATAATGTCAAGCAAACAAACACAAAAGATTCAGAAGCACAGACAAAATGAGTTAAAAGATGAGGAGAGTTTAAAATAAATATCTTCTTGTTGCTAGCAACATTCAAGTAGTACACAAACAGGCTGTAAGTGTTGGAAAACTGAGGGCACAGAAGTGAAGGACATCAACTGAGAAAAGGTGACCTGGCTTTGGGGTTTACTTAACTCCCGTAAATGGAATATTAACAAATAAACCCACAGATTTGGAGCAATGATAAAATATCTGGAAAATAAAAACATTTTTTTCCTTCATTTTAATCCTGTGTTAGGCTGCTCAAGAAATATTTACATCCCCGGATGTAGCATTTATGATAAATGCACAATTGCACAGCACATTTAAAAAGAAAAAAAACAACTTAATTTTGTTTGTTTTTGACGGACAACATTGGAGAAGAAACAATATTTTTTCATACTAGAGTATCTGGTCCTTTAAATCTTGGCAGATAAAGGAAACTTCCATGAAAAAGAGACATTTTTCCTCTTGGGTTTAAACATATGATAAAACGTTGCTGACAGGCTAATTATAAATGTTTTATATATTTTGTGCATATGTGCTCCTCTCTAGACCAATTTAATTCCCATTAATGCTAATCTTGTTAATACCACTCAGAGAGCAAAGGAATGCTCTTAATAAACTCTTGATTTATTTGAGTGATTTAAATGCGGGAAGGCGAAGAACAGACGGGAGAAGAGGAAAAGTCACCATTTTACCCAGAACTGCGTGTCTTAGAATATTTTCCAAATGTGAATGAGCAGTAGGTGATAATTGGTAGAAAGAGGAAATGGAGCAATAAAGAATAAAGGGACCAAGTATCAGTCCTCCACCCATGAAAAATAAGAGCATTGTCAATGAGCTGTTAATTGAGCATTTCTTTAGTACTAGCTCCAATGTTAACAGTGAGATATTACAAAGAAAGGTAGATTTTCTTTCTTCAAAGTGAGAGAAGGAAAAATGAGATTGGTACTGGAGGTTCTAATTGAAGTGGGTCTCTCTTAAGGAAAAAAAAAAAAATGATAGCCCAAAATATAAGAATCCAGTGATTTCTTGCAAACTCAAGTCAAATTTTTAGTCAGTTAAATTTTTTGTGTCTCAAGGTATTTTGATCAGCCAATAGCTAAGACTGGCTCACCAAAGAGGTTATGTCCAGGTCTTAGTGGTTTTCTGGAGTACAACTATGTAATGATCCTGGATGSCATAAGGCTAGCCTGGAACTTAGAAAGCAATAAGAAATCTCTGTCTGTCCCTTTTCAGATCATCCTAAAACTAACTTCTAAACTGGAAAGTTTAGTTCTCATTCTTCCTAGAAAAAAGTGGCACAGAATAGAAAACAAATGGGAAAATGGGATTTTGTCCAGGATTCCTCATCTGGCCTTACATCATTTAACCTCCCTGAGATTCAGTTTCCCTTATCTGTAAAATCTGAGATTATGATCCCCATGTTCTATGTTCTTATACCAACCTCTTAGTCCTATAAGGATCAAAACATGTATCTGAAAGCACTAAAAAAACCTTGAAGTGATGTGCAAATATATAGTGTTATTAAATGATAAATGATTTATGAAAAAAAATGTGGCAGAAGAAGAAGGGAGAAAAACATAAAGATGGATATTAATTTTATCAGGGTCTTGTATAATAAAGAGAGAGAGAAAAGGGATGGTGGGGGGGGGCGGAGATTACCCTCATGATTTTCTTCAAATTTTTTTTAATGGAAATTAAAATGCATATACTTGATGACTGGGTATGTAGAACATAAAATAAAATTGAACGTATTTATATGAGAGAAGGAAGGTTTCTTTTTCTGTTTATCCCAATGCATGACGTCGATTGTACATTAAGATGGGGAGGAGGAGTGAACAATCATTCATTGCAAAAAAAAAATCCTGAAACAAATATTGTCAGCACAAATATTAAACTGCCTTTTCTCTACCGATTGGTAAAAAAATATATTATATTTCCATACTTTTTTTTTTCTTTTTATTTTTAAATTATATTTGTTATCCATCCCAGCCGAAGTCGTGCCCSGTCATCTGGTAGAACTTCAAGTTGAAGGGCCGGTAGAACTCGCGCAGCCGCTGCACCACCTCCTGGGCGATCTCGGGGTGGGTCCTGCCCTTGGTCTTGCCCAGGCAGTGGGGTTTGCTGCTGCCCTCGGCCTTCTTGAGGCAGGGGAAGCCCTTGGTCTTGTTGAAGTAGAAGTGCTTGTCGGTGATGATGCGCTTGAGGCCCAGGAAGTCCTGCACGCGGCCCAGCTCRCCGGCCGGGTCGCTGATGAGCCGCTCGCCGCTCACGAAGAGCATCTGGCCGATGGGGAAGTGGCGCAGCCAGTGCTCCAGGTGCTTGGCGTAGATGCCGATCTGGATGGCGCTCCACGACGTGTCGATGAGGCCCGTGCTCCGGTTTTTGAACGTCAAGCTCTCGAAGGTGGGGATGTCGGGYCGCTTGGAGAGCGTCTGCGTGTAGTCCGAGATGGCCCTGGTCACCGGGTCGCGCACCACCACGATGAGCTTGGTGTCCTTGGACATGGCCGAGATGCGCGCGGGCGCCTCCCGCGTGACAAAGTAGCTGGGCGTCTTCTCCATGGTGATCTGCCCGTCCAGGGTCCTGGGCATCAGGTCCCTGAGGAAAGCAGAGAAGTATCTAAGTTAGTGACGGAAGAGCTTTACCTTTAGGTACAGAGGTGGTTTCCAAGGACAGGCAAGCTCCACGTGGGATCTAATCCAGACTTCCTGGGTTTTCCAACTGCACCTCCCCATTTACTAACTGTGGAGAAGTCACATAATCACTCTGACCTCTAGGTGCCGCATGCATAGAGTGGAGAATAATGTCGCCTTTTTCATGCAGTTGTTAAGATAATTAGTTAAGTAAATGTACCTCAACAGCTTAGAAATGTGCTAGGCACAGAATAAGTACTGTTTTTATTTTATTTATTTTAATATCTGTTAAGGTTTTTATTTTATTTATCTTAATATTTATTTTTTTAGTTATAGATGGACACATATCTTTATTTTATTTTTATGTGRTGCTGAGGATGGAACCCAGTGCCTCAAGCATGCTAGGTGAGCCCTCTACTTCTGAGCCACAGCCTCAGCCCAAGTTTTCATTTTTTATTATGGATCTACAATGCTGGGAGAAAATAACCTTGGTCAAATTCTTTAGGTAAATCAGAATACTCTGCTAATTAACATGATCGTGTCAATTTCTGTCTTGTGGATTCTTCCTGATGAGTAATAGAACCTGAATAGAAATCTCACCAGAGTCTGGATAGAGCAGTAATAAACCCAATTACACTGCTATGAGATTTTATTAACATATTCATGCTCTTCCTATCCATATTTTATTCTATTTCTGGTGACTGTCCATCTTGTCCCTGACGCAATAATCCAGTAATTTCTCTCAGGGTATTCCTATGGACAAAGCAATGATATTTAACATGATATCATAACATAGAGTTGTCCTCCCTTATCCACCATTTTTCTTTCTTTGGTTTCAATTACCTGCCCTTGACTGTGGTCCAAAAATATTAAATGGAAAATTCCAGAACTAAGCAATTCATAAATTGTAAATCATATGCCATTCAGAGTAGCATGATGAAATCTCACCATGTCCCACTCTGACTTGCCCAGGATATGAATTGTTCCTTGGCCCAGTGTAGCCATGATGTTCGMATTCCTATCCATTAGTCACTTGGTAGCAAATTTAGTTAACAACTTGACTGTCACATTTGGTAGTGCTTTTGTTCAAGTAACCCCTATTTTATTTAATAAGAGCCCCAAAGTGCAAGAGCATCAGGTCACAGAAATGAATGTACAGATTAACTCTGGTACTAGGTAACAGAGCTGCAGGGCATATAGGGAAAAAAAACATGAGCAGGAGAGAGAAAACCTACTTGCTCTTCCAATGTAAGTATGGTTCCATTAAAAGCGTTATTTATTTGAAATATGTGCTGTGTATTTTTTCCTAACATTAAAGCATTGTCTTTCTAATTCCAAGTTTTCTAAGAAGTAGATGTTGCTCCAATAAGTATTAGATAAAATGATTTTGGGAAATTTATTGCAATGACTCAATGTGTTTTGTCCTTTGATCTATTGATAAAAAGAATCCCACTTATAAATATCCTTATATTGCATTTACATTTATTCCTGGAATAAACTCTGTTGTTGATGGTGTGCTGTTAGTTGCATATAGTTTTGAATTTGACTAGTCGTTATTTTGTTTTGAAGTTTTCATCCACATTCATTAATGAAACGTTCCTGACATTTTTCTTCTGTTAATTGCTTAATCAATTGTTAGACTATAAATTATTCTATACTATTCTACATATAAAATGGGTTGAAACCATTCCATATTTTTCTGTGTCTTTTAAAAATTTAACAAAATAATTTTCTRTAAATGTTTCTTGACAGTCATCTACAAAGCCATTTCATATTCCTATTCTGGGGAATGAAAGTAGCAAAGATTATATGATCTTTAAATATTTTCTCACTTTCTTGTATACGTATTAGCCTTTTTGCAGTGCTTTGCCTTGTGTTTTGTTGATTTGGGAAATCATTATTTTTCTAAAAGTCATTCACTAAGTAGCTAGAGTTATATCCCCATTTTCAACCATGTTTTTGTATTTTTTTCTTTCCTTCTATCTTCTTGGTTCAATTATCTTTTCTAATTCACTGATCTTYATTTTTATTTTTCTMATGTCTCTATTTTTTAAAGTTATATTTTTTATGGTTCTTCAAACTTATTTTATGGATACTTACCTCATTGATTCCAATTTATCTTTTAAGTAATAAAAGCATTTGCAGGCTATATTTTTCTCTTCAGGTACAGTCTTGGTCAAAAATCCCCAAAGCTTTGACATGCATTCTTGTTATTATGGTAACTAAGTCAATATTTAGTGATTACATTTTACAGTTTGATTTCCCTCTTGATTCAGGCAAGCATTATCCAGGGGTGTGCTTATTTTTAAATCTGTTAATTCATCATCTTATTAATTTTGTAATCAGCGTCTGCTATGCATTTGCAATGAAAGGACATATATTGTGTTGTGAGTTTGGCTTTGTAACTGCCTCAAATTTTGTCCCACTTATACCCTTATGTCCTGCTTACCCCCTTTAATGAGCATCCATTGTAGAAAATGTCAAACATAGAAGTAGAGAAAATTGCAAACTGAATTACAGGTACCTTACATTCAGCTTCAAAAATTAAAAACTATAACCTTTTTTACTTATCAATCCCCTCATTTCCATAGCCCCACCATGTCAACTGGATTATATTGACAACACAGGTTAGCATATCACTTGGTTTGTAAATACTCCATCTGCATGATTATCTGACACAAATCCTGCAACTTTTATGATGACCTGTCACTGATAATCCTTTCCTCTTAATGACACAGTTTTTCATCTACTTTCATTTTCTTCGGTAATTTCAATGAGGTTAATTTTATCTTTTGGGGGAGAGGGTAAAAAGATCATTAGATATTTGATTTCTCTTGCTTTTATAATGGTTAAAAGAAATTTGCAATTTCTTTTTTTAACATAACTGTGATGTTCCTCACTAGCCACTATGAAATATACCTTAAAGTTTGGGTATATTAAACAAAGAACAGGGARTTTGAGAGGGGACACACATTGTCCTTTGTCACCTATGCATGCCTATTCCATTGTATGACTCTGGTYCTAGAACTGAGAAGTTGGTCAGAGTAATCTTCTTTGCATTGTAATATCCTTTTTTTGGTAATTTTTAGATTATTTTCTTATTGCAGTTTGGATTTTAGTATCCAATTTTGTCTTTCACAAAAAGACAAAATGCAATTTCAGCCATGCAGAGATGGCTGAAATTCTCTGAAATTTGTCCAAATGCATGGAAAAATTTCAGGCTATAAAAAAAAGCAAACATCGAATACATGAAGTGATAAGAAAGAAAATTGTTGATTAAAAAAATATAATAAGTCAGCATTCCTTCTTCTTTCCTATAATCTTTGATTTTGACTACTTTATTTCAAGTCTTGGCCAAAATCTAAAGTCCTGATAGCTGATTTCACTCCAGATCTCCTGGATGGCTTCTCTTGGGGGGTGGGGGGGATAAGTACACTTACCACTCCTCTCAGAGATTGAAGCTATAGATTATGCTGCCCCCCCCAAAAAAATAGTAAGATCTCTGAAAAAAAAAAAAAAGAAGCCATACTTTAAATTATTTTAATAGAGTAGGGAAAAGAGCTATCCCAAATAGGAGTTTGAAGAGGAAGCAGCTAAAATAGGATTTTAAAAGGAAAACACATGAACTATATACTCTCATCTGCAGGAGGAAGGAGAACCAACTGGTTAGCATGGGGTCGGGGGAGAGTTGGGCTGAACTACAAGCTGCCTGCAGGTTACTTTTTTCAAAAAGGATAAAGTGATAGTCTAAATAAATCCTAAACAAAATTTAGATTGTAAAAAAAAGTTGCTTTTTTTTAAAATGGTCACACTGCAGGATTCTTTACATTGTAATATCCTTTTTTCAATTTTTAGATCRTTTCCTTATTGCAATTTGGATTTTAGTATCCCCCCAAAGTACTCATCTTTCACAAAAAGACAAAATGCTCGTGTAAATTGCAATACTGCATTTCAGGTATTTAGGAAAACTTGGAAATTGTCCTTTTTTTTTTTTTTTTAATCTGAGAAAGGCCCATGTTTTGACTTGACTCTGTGTAAGCACATGGCCCAGGATGGGCAATGAAGAGTCTGTTTCAGTAGAGGGAGAGGTTTTTAGAAATACCAGACAGGCTATGGGAGAACAAGGTGTGTGAGAAGACACATGGTGTTTCCCTGAAGGCAAAGCAGGTGAGAATTGAAAGGTGGGAAGATGAGGCCCGAGGAGGACTTTATTTCCAGATTATGTAGTATATAGATTATTCCAACATCAACTCTAAATTATGAATAGGGTTTGAAGAATTCTATAATAGGTATGGGGGTGGAGAATGGGGTAGAGACCAAAATTACCAGAAGAAATTAGAAAGGAATAGTTGATTTTCTTAAAGAAGTCAAACATAAGCAGAGCTTTCACATGCAAATTAAGGATTATTACAAGATGAGTTATATATATTTGTTCTTTGTCTCTAAAGAACTCAATGACAATTCACCATAGCCCCAATTGGAAAGCAGGCTAAGGGTCCACCAACAGATGAATCGTAGGCAGAAGGTGGTAAATCCATACAAAATCGAATATTATTCAGCCACAAAGAGAAAGGAAATTCTATCATATGCTACAAAATGGATGAACCTTGAGGATATCACACTAAGAGAAATAAGCCAGTCACAAAAGGGCAAATACTGCCTGGTTCCACTTATATGAGGTAGCTAGTCAAAATCATGGAGTCAGAAAGAATGATGGCAACTAGGGGCTGGGAAAGGGGAATTGTTTAATGAGTACAGTTTTAGTTTGCTATGACTAAAAGTTTCAGAGATTGACTGAGTAACAAAGTGCCCATATTTAACATTACTGAACCTAAAAATAAATTTAGCATAGTGAATTTTATGTTATATATAAATATATAATATAAAATATATATAAATATATAATATTATAAATATATTAAATATATAAAAATATATATAAATATATAAAAAAATATATATATA